CGTACCAGCGCAAGAGGTTGTACTGTTGCACGCCACACTAATCTTCCCATCTCCCATGAGAACCGTCTGCAAAAAGTACAACCTATCTCGTTGGAATACATCGATTTTCAATGCACCATCTTCTGAGCAAATGTAAGACTTTAGGGCACTCCTGGAGCCCCGTGATAACATGTGGTAGTCAGTCCCAAGAACATCATCCAAGCTAAGCAACGATATCGGGACAAGCGGGCATACGCGAACGTTGACAATAATCTCGTCCAGACAGGTGTTAGTTGTTGGACAAACCAGTTGCAGTCGTAATTTTCCAACCTTATCACAGACGACAGTACCTCCAGCGGTAAGCACCTGAAATTCAGGTCCAGCTTGGACATCAAACAACATAGACTCTTCCTTGACCATGGAGATATTAGCACCAGAGTCCAGCAAGAACGTATGGCCTCCAGCTCCTTCTTTCTCCTTTACCTGCAATGCAATTTCCTGCAATTCCTCGATGGTAGACGTGGAATCGAGACCAAATGTGAAATTTGCTTTCCACGCTCCTTGCCGTCGATTAGCCTGTGATGCAGATTCCGTTGCATTCTGGGCCGATGAGCGTTCAAATGGATTTGCAGGAACAGAAGATTTCTTTTCTGACTCATTCCGCTGGCCGTCTGCGTCAGCCTTCTGCTGGTGACTGTGTGAACTTGAAGAAGCATTCGCTGCCATGCGTTGAGCTGCCTGAATCAACGCTTCCCCCATCTTGCGCGTGGTTTCAGCGTCCACAACTCCCCCTGACAACAAATTCTGCAAGACAGATGACGGTTGTTCACTTTCAACCCCTCGAGGGTTAAACCGCTGATTTTTGTAGTTGCCATTATTTTGATTGTAGTTGTTGTTATTGTAGTTGTGGTTGTGATTGAAATTTCCATGACCTCGACCACCCTTCCAACCTTTGCCTCCATGTCCTTTCTGTCCACCCTGACCTCTTCCATAGCCTCCTTTAAAACTTCCTCTCCCTCCATTATGGTACCCATCCTGATTCCTCCTTCCCCTGCCACGGTAACCCGTATGGTTAGGTCCGCCGTCCCCCTCGCCTCCGCGGCCAGGGAAACCACCACGGTATGAGCTAGGGTCAAACGCCGCCTGATCTTGTCCCGTCCTACCAGGTCCTGAAGGAGCTTGACCAGAAGCCTGGTAAAACGTTGGGACGTTCCCGACCGGACCTTGGATAGGAAATGGATACATAGAGGCACGGTTGACCTTGAGCATAGAAATTGAAAAACGGGTCTTGGCTGGGAAACATGATACCTTGTGGATATGATGGAGGTATACTCCCACGAACTGGGTAATTACCATACCATTTGGGATCGACGTGAGAATTCTCTCCCGAATCCGCTTGACCACTGTTTTCGCCTGACCCCGAGGATCTCTTCTTGCCCACTGCAACTTCTCCGACAGCCTGCGGTTCATTCGGTACCAACGGTTCACTTGCCACAGTGATATTCACCACTGACACGTCTCCCTTCGCATCCATCGCGGGCGTCACGGTCGTAGTCGTCTTGCTTCTAGTTTTTAAGATGCGCCCCCAGTGGAATATTTCGTCGAGAGAAATCTTTTCTGGTCTCATATTACTCTTCTTCCAATTTCGCAATTCTCTATTCAATGCCAATGACTGCAACGATTCACAAGTCGATTCTTTACACCTGGCATGCAAGAGTTCAGCGATCTGGATCTCTAACGGCCCCATCCTTTGGTGTGCCCCCACAACACCTTGAATACTATCCTTGAGATTCTTAAACAGTAGCTTGATTTTGTCCACGTTCCTCCAGAAGGCTTCTTCAGACTCAAGTGGCTGTTTCGCTAGCGCTCTGAGCTGATCTCTCCCTTCGTCCTCAGTAAGCTCGATAAGCTCAGCTCCACTTCGTTGCTTTACATTCCAGCGTACCAGTGCCAAAGTTTTGAAGAATGCCAAAGGATAGTTGCCTCCTCCTGACATCTGCCACTCTATGTCGAAATCATCCTTTAGCTTAACTCGAAAATAACTGTTCGTGCTTACAAGTACCTCAGCAATATCTTCAAATAAGACTTCCACCTCCTGTCGATCAGCTGAGGATCTGAACAACCTCGGTGATATTTGGTACTTGTGTGGAGAGAAAACCACAGATGTATCGAGTGGATTACCCATCTCTCCATCCTCTGAAGCACCATCAATCACATCCTCGCTGGCTGCGATTGCCTCCTCGAATTTTCCTCGCAACTTCTTAAACTTCTCAAGAGCATCCTTGAATTTCTTCCCATTCTTCCAAATGTACCCAGCATGCAGAAACAACGCCGTGACCTGAATCTTCCACTCCAGCGAAGAGAATTTTTCTAGACCTTCTGGAGACGACTCCCACATTTCATGAAATTCTCCAACAAACGATCCAGTCTCGTCAATCGGAAACAAGTCCAACAGTTTTAAGAAACAAGCCCCAAGATTCGGACGAAAACGACTCATGGCACCTGAGAAAGGAAGGAACAGGTCCTCGAGTTTTTCCTTGGAGGTAACCTTCCCATGCTTCAGCTTGTCGACCTGAACATCACCATGGCTTCGTTTCAACTCCTCTTGCAGATCTGGCATGCTCATGATCGTCAACTTGGAGTTACCAATACCGTTCCAAAAAAAATGAGTAACAGCGTACAGTACAACAACCAGGAGCCTTAAAGAGCCTTCAAACTCGTTGTCAATTCGACGCACAAAGACCAAGAGCCCTTTAACTCGTTGTCCTTGGAATCTTATCGTAGAGTCTTTTTGTATTCCTTTGTTCGTGAATACAAAAAGAAAATTTTCTTTTTGTATTGGAATCAATTCCTGACTCCTAGAGTCTGTGCACAGATGAATGACTAGTAGAACAGCTCAACAGCTGACTGATAAGTCCAAAGACCAAGACTCACAGATGATGTGCGCACGAAGACACCAATGACTTTCACAGCCAACCAAACACCTCAGATAACTCAGATCAACTTCCCAACAATCCCCAGCACTTTATTCCCAACACTCGTAGCGGCAAGACCAACCAAACAGCTTCCCTTCACACACCACCGCCTTACTTCCACCACTGTACGAGTGCTGCCTCTTCGACAGCCGGCGCCTCTTGATTCCTCCGGCGCCGCCTCAGCTTCCCCAGGCTCCAACCAACCGGATCTTCTAAGTCACAGACTAAGCTCCAGCCCACTAGCTTGGACCTGCAGGCTTCACTTGGTTCACAACCTGATTAGACGCATCCCTTGAACTTATCGCGTCTGAAAGAACTTCTGAGAGGTTTGTCAGAACCTGAGTTCTTACACACCGTGTTGGACCGCCGGCCGCTCGGTCGGAACCGGACCGTCGGTCGGGCCGGGCCCCGGCCGGCCGGCCGCCAGGCTCAGTGGGACCCCGCGGCGGCGAACTTCGGAAACCGTCGTGACCGTGTGAACCGGGCCGTTTGGAACTCCGAACGGTCCGACCGTCGTGACACCGTGACGGACTCGGCGGATCGGACCGGCCGCTGCCACACATGCCAGTGACACCGCCGAGTCGGCCCGGGGGCCGGGCCCACTGAGTGGCAACGGCGTCCGAAGTTCAGCAGTTCAATGTGACTCTCAGTGCGCCGGGGTGTCACGGCCCCCCGGCATGCCCGGCCGGCGACTCGCCGGTCGCCGCCCGGCGCGGCCGCCGTGTCAGGCTCACTGCCGGGACGGTCCAGCGGCTCCCGGTTGAAAGTTCAGTCGGCGCGGCATGAAACCGTTCGACTCGTCACGTGCGGCGGCCGCCACCACTCTTCCCAGAGTCCGGCCCGGGCCGGAGAGTCTGCCGCGCGGCTCAGTGAAGCCCCGCGTGCCGCGTGCCGGGCCCCGGGGCCGCTCAGTCACTGAGTCACGGTTCCAGCCTGGCCGCCGCCCGGCGCCCGGCCGCTCCGACGCGTGAATCGCGGCGCGGCGGCGCGGCGGCCAGGCGAGCCTCGACCCGATCATCGCCGAGTCGGCCGGGCGGATCGCCGGCCCATTGTCTGTTTCGTCCGTTATATCCGTTACAAAACCAGGGTCGGCTTAGAGAATTTTACCATGGCCTCCAGGTATACCTCCGCTCTCCCTCCATGCTGCTTCCACGAGCTCGACTTTTCTCCCTCCTGCTTCCTCTTCCAATCTTCATCTCTCCTTTTCGTCGTCTACTACCCCCCCTCGACCATCCTATCACGTTGCTCTTTCCTGCTCCATCCTTCCACTCTACTGCTTCTCCTGTATGTTTTGTTTCATCGCCCCCTCCCTCCCCTTCCTCAACCAACTCACCCCCAGCAGTACTTCTCTCTATCAACTTTTACTTTGCTCTTACCTCCTTTCTACCATCTTCCTTCCGCTTCCCTCTTCCCTTTTCTTCTCGTCTCTACTATGTCAATCCACGTCATTACTTTCCTGTTCTTACTTTTCCACCAACTTCAAGCTGTGTTGCATGTGTTTAGTTCAATCTTGTATCTTCATTCGTTCGTTTTGTCTCCTCTTCCCATTTCAAATTTGCCACCTGTCTTGTCTTCCTATCGGCCTTCCTCTCTCCCTGCTGCTCCTCGCGCTGCCCCAGACCCTCCACGCTTTCCTTCACCTTGTTGCTCTGTTTGCAAGCCTGGGTCTGAGTGATCATGCGTGCAAATGCTCTTGTTGTCTCATAACCAACTAGTTATGTGCATGTGCTGTGAATGGTTTCGGCCGCAGCTTCTCTTGTCAATGTATCTATTGGTTCCCTCTTGTGAATCATGCGCTGCTCTCGTATCCATCACAGAAGGCTATCCGAGAACAGCTTAGAGGGCAAGGAAAGGATTGAAGGAATGCAAGGAAGGATAGCTTGAGAGGGGGGGAGGGTGGAGGATGCAGTGGAAGGGGGCTGTATTTGGGAAGCAGAGATGAAACAGCAGCCGCTGCTGAACAAACTGCTTAACAAGAAGCAGCCGTGTTGCTGACTTACTCCCCCTCCTTTGCGCAGTCGCTCAGGCGTCTCGGGGCTTCTGCGCATGACAGGTCTGATGTCGTTTGCAATGGCAACCGGGTCTTACATCACCAACAGCGCGCATATCATCAAAGGAAGCATGCTCAACGCCGATCAAGCCCGATGCCGCTGAGCTGCGAAAGGTTGATGAGGATGACTTGGAGTCGAGGCTGCTGACTTGAGGGATGTCAGACCGTGGAAGACTGCGACGAAGCGCTGGTGCTGCTCCTGCACGAGCGAGCTCGAGCGCTAGAGACTGTTAGATCCCCAGCAGCGCTAGAGACGAGCTTCCTCTCACTGTTGCTGCAGCTGTGGAGTCTGGAGGGACCGGCGGATGGGATTCCCTCAGCCGAGTTGAGTCCGAGCGAGATGGATCGGGTCAAACAGGCGCACAGCTGCTGCAAGGAGGAGGGTCGCAGCTCCTTGAGCGACTCCGCCATTGTCTCTGTGTTCCAGGCGAGCTCGTGGACCTCCTGTGCCTCGAGCTCCAGGCTGATCTCCCAGCAGGAGTTGAGCAGGGTGTGCTCGCAGATCAGAGACTCGGTCGCTTACTTGGGCCCTCCGGCCACCTTCACCCATCAGGTTTTCCTCCTTCTCAGCTCGTGTCCTCCTGGTCATGTCGCCTCAGGCTGCAAGGAGTCGCTTCGGGTTGAACGCGATCTACCTGCAGGCAAGAGCTCCCTTGTCCTGATGCCAGGGTGACCGGAGGAGCAGTGTGACAGGATACCCGACGTGTTCCAGGCCGTCGAGAGGGGGAAGGCAAGTGGTCGAGCTCCTTTGCATCTTCCGCTCATGCCTTGCAGGTTGGGTTTGGCGTCGCTCCCGTGGAGAACAGCACGGAGGGAGCCATTTCGCAGACCCTTGACCTGCTTGCTACCACTGAGCTCCAAGTGGTCGCCGAAGTCTGTCTTGACATCAGGCACAACATGCTCTCCAACGCCGACCTCCATAGGATACAGCGAGTTTTCAGCCACCCGCAGGCCCTCGCCCAGTGCAGGGGTGGCTTCAGGTTGCTGCTTTTGCCAGTTATCACCTGCTCCTCCCCTTCTCCTCCTTCTCCCCTCTCCACCCCCCTCTCCACCCCCTTCTTCATCCCCCTTCTCCATCCCCTCCTCTCCCCTCGCAGCTCCATCCTTGGTCCGGCTCAAGTTCAGCAGGCGAACCTTCCTGGTGCAGAAATCATCGCCGAGAGCAGCACAGCGCGGGCAGCGCAGCTAGCGGCGCAGGCGAAGGTGCAGGAGGAGCTGGTGAGGTTTTCAGTGGAGGTGACTGGAGTGCAGCCGGAGGAAGGGATTGCTGCCATTTCCTCCCTCTTGGCGTCGGAGGTCTCGTGGTTGGACAAGGAGGCTGGTTGGTAACGCGGCTTCCAGCTCTATGACCTTCCAGTCAAGGCGACTTCCATCCAGGACCTCTCAAACAACATGTCAGATGCTCGTCCTCCCTCCTCCCTCCCTCGACCTTGTGCCCCATGGGCTCTTTCCTCCCCCAACCTTCCCCTCATCCCCCTGTCTGCTTTCCTCGACCTCATTGCTGGTCCTGCGCCTTGTCTCTCCCTCCGCCTCTTTGCGCTTCCTCTCTCATCGCAGACACCTCAGGACGCGCTTCGTCGTTGTGCGGCAACAAAGTCCAGGTGAGCTCGGGCGCTGCCAGCGCGATAGCGACAAGGTTGACGATGAGCAGGGGGGATGCCGGACACTCAGCCGACCGGGGATGACAAGACCATGCTTGTCCTGTGCATGGCGGATAGGTAGCGCATGCTGAGCTCGCGACGGCTCAAGCTCATTCGCTTGTAGGGTTGGCGCACTTCACGACGTCCTGCATGCCTTCCAGCAACGATCCGTCAACCTGGCGAGGATAGAGTCCCGTCCGTCCAAGAGCAAAGTGACCCATCTCCTCTGCTGTCTTCCCCCACCTTCACCTCCTATCCTTCCCTTCCCTCCCCTTGTGCATGCTCAGAGGTCCCGACACATGTAGCATGATGCGTGCGAGGACTAACGGCACCATCAGGCGTGGGAGTACATCTTCTTTGTGGACATGCATGGACACTACAAGGTCAGATCGTTTCATTCATCTCCGATTCATCTTCTAATTTTCATGTGACAGGATGAGAACATTCAGGGAGTTTTGCTTGACCTCAAACAGCAGTGTTCTTTTGTTCGGTAAGTACAAAAATCCTTCCCCTGTCACACTCACTCCTTTCCACAGCGTTTTGGGCTCTTTCCCCTTCATCCGTCAGCCATCGGCTCATACTTCACGCAAGACTTAACATCGTCCAGAGCTATGATGTGAGAGTGAAACAACGCGATGTTACGGCTATGAGTGACAAGACAACAACAATATCAAGTATTGTACACATTCATTGAAATCTGAATGACAACATACAAACTGCTATCGACACAACAACTTGCATGCGCAGCGCGAGTTCAGGTGCGGACAGCACGAGAGGGATGCTGCCAATGAGCATCGCAGCTATCAAGATGCCACGCGTCGAGTTTCAGCCTAGCAACTTCCGGACATTGTTTGTCTTGCAAGCAAGGCTCTGATATGTCCTTGACAACCACCGTGAGCATGCCATGTCGAGCCATGTCAAGAAAGCCACTCTTGTGGCTGTAAGTCTGGGACAGGATGCGGCAGATCATGCTCTCGTTCACTCGCGTGAACTTCCCTTGTTCATCTCGATCCATGACATCCTCCTCCAGGACTGCCAGGCAAATGATGTTGCAATTCTCCTCAGTGAGCAAAAGCATGGTTTATTCGTCGATGGCGGATGCACAGGGAATCTGTTCGTTTGAATTGGAGCTCAACAAGAAAGTACGATTCAGACGTCAAGCTCGATGGGAGTCTGCAGGTACAGTTGCAGCCACAAACTCAAACCTGGACGTGCCCAACGAGATCAACCAAGAGGGGAAGCGAGCTTGGGAGGAGCAAGAGGGGAGGGAGGGTTGAGAGAGGAGGTAACAACAGCAAGACTTGAGCTATGGAAGGGGAACTAGCGCAATGGCAGGCTGTTTGTTCACTGACCACCAGGAGGCGGCAAGGAGGGGCAGGGAGGACAAGCAGGGGCAGCACAGGAGGGGTATAAGTCACCGTCTGAATCGGGGTGGGGTGGTAGGATGAATCAAGAATGGCCAGGTAGGGGGGTACTTATGGTAGGAGATAGGGGTGGGTCCATTTGATTGTTTCGTCTGGTTCGGTGGGGTCCTTTGTAAAACAATTGTAGAAGTAAACACAAGTGCCCGCCCACCCACCCCTACCACATACCCCTGTTTCCCACTCTAGCCTGCACTACCCCTCGTTTTCCCTGTCCTTACCCCTCCTACATCCCTTGTCTAGTGCCTGCAGTCGTATAGCAAAGTCCCAGGATACCCCACCCCCTACCCCTATGTCTACCACCCACCGCTGCAACAATTCTTATAATGACCCCACCGTTTCTCAATTGAAATCAATATTCCCACCCAGCCATTAGTACCCCTACCTACCCTTGTAGTCGCAATGTTCCCCCAAGGTCTTTTTGACCCCGGGCGGTCCCCACCCCCACCCCTATCTTTCATATGTACCCGTGTGGTGGAGATCAGTCCCAACCTCGCTCCCGATGGGGGTTCCATTTATCGGCCTCATCAGAGATACGATCTCGTATGGGGGGTAGGTCAGGATTGGGGAATGTGGAGAAGTCGGGGTGGGTCATTGGGAGGAAATTGATGGGTGGGTGTTCCAACTATTGAAAATGAAAGTGGGTAGGTGGTGAACATATCTGAAAGGTATAGTTTGACAGGGGTGGGTGGTTTGGGAGGGACCTGATGGGTGGGGTACTGGAGGGATCTGATGAGGGTAGGGTTATAGTTGGGTTACGACTGATGGGGAATGTTGGGAGGCGAAGATTATTATAACATTTTACACAGAATATTTCAAATCATGCAAGGATTTATTTTCAAATTTCCTGTATTGTTTTGAAATATTAGACTTGGTAAGTCCGCTAATCCCCTCAGATCGACGCTTTACTACCCCACCCCTGAATTTTCCAAGAATTTCATCTAGCAAGCACCCCTGCTAAATTTCAGTATCCGCCCTACTACCCCCCATTCCAGCAGGATTTCACCCCACCCTCTGTGTTCAGGAACCCCAGGTCCCCGACAACATGAGGACGGTGACGCTGGTGGTGCAGGCATAGTAGGAGGGAAGAGATTGAGCTCAATGAAGACAGAGTCTTGAGACATGAAAGTTGTTATGCGTCTTGTACTAAGGAAGCGAGCATACAATAAGACAAGGATGGCATAGCGAGTAGAAGTCACTATCATGCGACATTGAGCGGATTCGAGATAGGCAGGAATATTCTGGACAGGAAAGGGATGTAACAGATGAGTCTTTTCGTCGTCGATCATTTGATGAGGAAGTAATGAGGTGAAATTGTATATTCTTTTGCTCTATTGGTCAGTAGAACAACGGTCAATAGAGCAAGCCTGATCGATTTCTTGCTCCGCAGCAGTGTAGTTTCAACTGCTGAAAGGCAGCAGAACCGGAAAGACAACATATCTGTGAGAAGATGCGGCATTGACTTCAACGGATGTTTTCAGGGCTGGCATGCTGAACGGCATCCCCAGGTCCTGCCACCTGTTGGTCGCCTTGCTCTTGTCGGTGGGGATGGAGGCAGCGGTCGCGTTCAACCCTCCTCTGAGCTCGATGCTGAACCGAAGGGAGGCGATTTCTGACCTCGTTACCAAGACTCTCCAGTACACTGGGATCACTCAGATCCCTATCTTGACCGGCAGGCAGACAGGTGAGGAGGAGGAGGAGGAGGAGTCCGTGTGTGTTTGACTGTTAATTCCCACGGCAGCGGCCCCAATGCGCAACCTGGTTGTCTTTGACTTCGATCACACCCTGATCGGGGTTGACTCGGATGAGCATGTGCTCGGGCTATCGTCCGACAAGGATGCGGCCAAGAGGAGGTTGGCAGAGGCGGGGGCAGCCAAGAGGTGGTGCGAAGGGTTCGCATCGGAGCTCGAGTGCTTGCAACGCGAAGGAGTGACCATGGATAGGATCAAGGAGGCGCTCGTGGAGATCAAAGTCGACGAGGAGCTGAAGGAGACCATTCACAGACTGGGAAACTTGGACGGGGTTGAGCTCAGGATCTTGTCGGATGCCAACAACTGGTTCATCTCCACCGTTCTGCAGTCTAACGGGCTGGACAAGTACATTACAAAGATCGTCAGCAACGTGGCTGAGGTGGACGGAGGGTTCCTGCATGTCAAGCCCTACCACACCTCCCCGCATCCTGAGGGCTCTTCCTCACCCGCCAACCTCTGCAAGGGCCGGGTGATGCGATCGTGGCTGGACGAGGTCCGCTGGGACCAGGTTGTCTACTGCGGGGACGGGCCTGGAGACTTTGAAGGAGCGGTGAATGTTCCGCTGAACGGAAAGATTCTTGCAAGGAAGGACTGGCCTTTGCATCGGCTGCTGGAGAGGAGCAAGGTGAGAGTTGGAGTCCTGGTGGAGTGAGCGGTTGACTTTGAGTGGCTAGGAGGTCAAGATGGCTCAGGTTTTGCCCTGGCAAGATCACAAGGAGCTTGCTCGTCTCCTCTCCAAGAACGTGGAGATGCCTGTGCTTGCCATGCAGCGGAAGCAGTGGGACCTGGCGGGCTCGAGGAGTTTGAGATGGCATGAGGAAGGAAAGGCCGTGCGAGTGATGACGTGAGGAGGAGTGAGTTATTCTTTAATGTACGCATATTTCAGATTTAGAAGAGATGAGGGAGAATGAGTGATCGGCATGTGATCGCGCCGTCGGCCTTGGCGAACTCGGAGTTCTCTACTCCCACTATGTCTTGTCGCTTCACCCCAGCCATCTCTGCCAGCTTCTGCATCTCTGGCAGGAGCTCGCAGCCCTTGGACACGAGCAGGGCATCTCCAACACGCAGCACGTTGGTTGCCTCATGCACTGACATCCTGCCAGCAAAGTCACCCGGGTCGGCAAGGCGGAGAGTACCGGTGCATGCTGTAACCGTGGGTCGCTCCGATCAGTCTCTCCACCTCCTGCACGAAGTGGTCCCCCCCGACAGAGTCGTCGAAGGCGATCTGATCGTTTCCTGCAAAGGTGGCAAGGGACTTCAGGTGCAGGTCGTCCTTCACTTGGATCGCATGGATACTCTTCGCCCCCTCTGCAAACTCGCTCGCAAAATGTTTGCGTAGGAACTCGAATCCTGCCGAGCAAGTCACATGGAGCGAAGTAAGAGGAAGAGATAACAGCTTACCGGCTTCATTGGTTCGCGAGGATATCCCAACGAAACAATGTCTCCCTGTGAACAGCACGTCTCCTCCATCCAGGGTAACGTCCTCGTTCGATTCTTCCGCCATGCTCACAACGCTGTAGGCGCTCTTGAACCTATATATTCATCAGTGCGATTCTAACATCAGCATCCTTGGTTCACCTGGATATCTCTGACTTGATCGTGAGCTCCACATCTTTAGTCTCCTGCTCACCTCGTATCTCACCGATCACGCTATCTCGCACGCTCACATTGAAGGGGCATGCATGGAAGTGAGGCTAACCTCTCGACGGCTTCTTGCGCCTGGCCGGGTAAGGAGAATCTTCTTTCCAACAGCAACAGCAGTGTCTTCGATGAAGCAGCAGTCCGGGAGGTCGTCTGCAGCAGTCCGTCAACGGCGCCATCACAAACCTCTCCACCAGCCTCACCTCTTGCTGGGACGTGTATGACAGACCTCACCCGCTGGGCGATGGCGTCGACATACTTCCTGTGCTGCTCTACAGCGATCGAGTACACCGGAGCATCTCCTCCTCTTCTGATCGCCCTCGCCATTCCCGCCGATACCCCCCGAACCACCGCTGCCATTCTTATCCGGCCCTCATTCAGCAACAAAAATTTTCCGTTACAGACCCGGTTTGCGGACGTTACGAAATGTGAGTTAGCAGTCCACGTCGACGATGCACGATGCGGCGGATCCGTAGAGTAGAAGAGAAGGAGGAGGAGGACAGAGAGGAGAGAGGAGAGAGGAGAGAGGAGAGAGGAGAGAGGAGAGAGGAGAGAGGAGAGGAGAGAGAGAGAGCAGAAGGATGAGGAAGAGGAGGAGGACTGCGTAGAAAAGAAAGAGGAGAAGGAGCAGAGAAAAGAGAGCAGATAAGAATGGAGGAGGGTGAGAAGAAGCTAGCCGGAGAAGGATGAGAAGGTTGTGATCTGTAAGAAAGGGGGGATGAGCAAAGGCGCGAGAGCATGCAACATAGCGGCGACGGATCATGACAGCGAGGAAGTTAAAGCCGGATTAGATCATGCTGGAGCATGAAATGAGAAGGAGATGATAATCAGCAGAACTTGATGAAAAACAAACGATCCAGTCGAGTTGATGTCGTGTTTGCAGAATGGTCAGAGCTCAAGAGGAATCGAATCGACCTCCTATGGTAAGCTCTCGTTTGTTCTTGTGGGAAGGGGGAGGAGGGAGGGAGGGGGGCTCTTGATGTTGGCTGAATGGGTTGAACAGTTCGAGCAAATGGAAAGTGCCGACCTTGGCAGTTTTGAGTCCACAAGGAAGACGATGAGGTGAAGATGAAGTTGACGAGGAGAATGAAAGCATGATAACAATGGGTGGGAGGGGGGGAGGTGTCGAGAAGCTGTTGTGAAGGGGAGGAAGATGTGAAAGAAAGGTGACGGTCGAGGAAGAAGATGGCAAGGTGTAGATGATAGTGGTGATAACAATGACGATCATGACGATGGTAATATTGCCTTCCTGCTCACTAGTATTTCAGGGTCTGCACATGTGTGGGAGTAGCCATGTGTGTCCTCGTGGTGCTAGCAAGCATCATGCTCTGGGATAACGTGGGGATGGGGCCGAAGAGCAAAGGGTATCAGATCAGGGAGACGACAATGTCCGCCGCCCCCCGGCCTGTGAGGGAGTGGAAGAGCAGAATCCGACAAGCAGCAACAGCCAAGAAGATGCAGGAGAGGAAGGTCAAACGCATCTTAGCTCAGAGAGCGCTGGACCTCTCAGAGCAGGCGGCCATCGCTGACGTGGCCAACACGTACGCTCCTCAGAGCTGGTTCGCTAGTCACAAGAGGCCGGAGCGAGGTGTGTGCTCCTGGTTGTCGTTGTTCCGCTCCTTCTCGTGCATTCCTCTCGCTGCTCCCTACCTCCTCTGCTTGCCTGTCAGCTTGTTTCTCCTCCTCATTTCTTGCTCTCAGCCGCCATCCTCGCCGTCACTCGCAACCCCCGTGAAGGAGATAAGATTGTGGATCAAGTGGAAGGGGAAATGCTGGACACACACTACAAGGGACAGCGGAACAGCGTCGCGCAGGGAGTGAAGGATCTGCTGCCAGGGATGAGCAGGAGGAGGAGGAACGAGATTATCGAGCCGCTTGTGGAAGCAGGCACACAGCGCGCGCTCCACCGGCTGTCCCTGGAGGTACCTGCTACCTCATTGTGACTTGTTTCTTTCCTCATCATGCTGCAAGGCCGGGAAGGGATGGGTGGACCGTGGGCTGGGAGAGAGGAAGTTGCACTCCGGGTGGATCACAGATCAGGTCAAGAGCGCCATCGTCAAGCCGGGGGAGCGAGAGAGGAGGGTGCGAACGAGCCACGAGCATGCTCATCAAGTCAGACCGTCGAGGCAGCGATCGGGAAGCATGCATCTCCCAGGTACGACAAGAGGAGAGGGGGTTGGAGGGGAGGAAAGGGGAGATGTGAGGTTGTTTGGATTCGACGCGCTCAAAGCTTTCCTGTAGGGCTAGGGGACGTCAAGAGTGCTCAAGAAGCCGCGAAGGCGTTGGAGCATCTTGCCCGCAAGGTACCAGCCTGTGCTGCATCCTCCCTCACGACCTCCCTGCCTCTGACTGGAACTGCAGCGATCAGGCAGCAGCCGTGGAAGGAGCGACGAGGATGCTCAGAGGGATGACCAAGGGCAAGAGGACAACGGGCATGACATGGGGCTGGACCATCCCAAGCACACGCTGCACGCGGCCTTGAGCAAGAGAGGCCTGTCTGAGCGGGAAGGACTGGACCTTCATCAGGCGCTGGAGCGGAGGAGAGGTAGCAAGCTGCCTTGCTCGCACAGACCTGACGCGTGTGTTGTAGGCCAAAGGGTTCGCAGTGACGACGATGATCAAGGGGGCGACAGGGGGGATGACGAAGGGAGGAGGCAGGACCAGAAGTACATTCGCAAGATGGTGATGGGGAGAGGAGAAGAGGAGGATGTGCTGACGAGATCGCAGGCTTCCAAGGAGCTGCGGGGGGAAGACGACTGGGACGACTCGTCGAGAACAGCTCCTGTCGGGCAGAGCATACAGGTCCCTCTCACCTCCTGCGCCGCCGGAGGATGCTGACAACTGTGGCAGACGTACTTCTCCAAGGGGAACCAGGACTGGATGAACGCGGCTGGTGCATGGGGGGCTGGAGCTTGAGGAGGAGCGAGGAGGCTCTCGAGCTTCGTGTATACTAGCACCTCTTGTCTCTGTATGATACTTGTCTTAGAGACTCATACCGTCACCCCAGTGCCTCTGAGCCCCCCTCAGTCACCTCCCTGTTCCAACTTGCACTTCTGAGTTACCAAACATGCTCCGGCAGTCACTCGGAGCCCCCCTCTCATCCCAGCGGCCGCAAGTTCCGAGTAAGCCGTGAAATCGGATGCCCGGCGGCTGGCAGCGGCGACTGCCACTGATGACTGTGACACTGAGCACCGGCCGCCCCGCGGCGGGTTGAGTGACTCCGGCGGCGGCACGGGGCTGAGGCACCGCCGGGCGGCCCGGCTGACTCAGTGAGGCTGCCATTTGCCGCCCCCTTGAAGCAGTGTGACTCGCCGGACTCATTGAGTGCTTTTAACTTAACTTTGAGTGCTTTCAATGGCCCAGTGCTGGTCTGATGATTCCCGGCCCGTGGGCCGAGTTGCTGTAGTACTAGACCATGTTGCGACGGCGGTTACCGTACCGCAACAGTCAAAGGTAACTAAAGTAACGGTCATCATGTGAGGCCGTTGAACTTCGGAAGGAGCTAGTCATGCAGGTTACACGGTAGGAACATGGACGAGAACAGCGAGGTGAGGGAGGAGAGGAGGAGAGGAGAGGGGAGGAGAGGAGAGGAGAGGAGAGGAGAGGATAGGAGAGGAGAGGAGGAGGAGAAAAGAGGGTTTCTTGCAAGAGGATGAGACTTCATCACAGGAGTTCGACTACGGGCATGCGCGGTTCGGTGGCAGTCTTGCGACATGGCAGCGAGGATGGGGCAAGGAGAAGCCTCTCACGCCGCGCACGAGGAAGAAGAAGATCGCTCTAGTCTGTCAGAGGGTGTCGGGACATGCTCGTGATCCGCTCCATAGGCAAAGAGGCAGGCGGAGGAGGAGAGGCAGCGGCTAGCAAGGGAGCAAGAGGCGGCAGCTTGGCTGGGTAGGATGAGAGGGAGGAGGAGAAGAATGACGGCTCTGCAGAGGAAGAGGCGAGACGGCTCAAGGTCTCCTCCTGCCGCTTGCAGGCACTTCCTGAGATGGGTGATGCTTGCAGGAGGAGGCAGAGAGGGCGAGGCTGGAGAGAGAGCTAGCAGAGAGACTGGAGAGGGAGAGGAAGAAGCGAGAGCAGCAAGAGAAGATCGATTCACATGTGCTACCCTATACTGCCTTCCTCCTCCATTCTGTCCTTTCCTTCCCTTCCCTTCCCTTCCTTTCCCTTCCTTTCCCTTCCTTTCCTTTCATTCCTTGCACTTCCCCCTCCCTTCTTTCTCTACTTCTCGATCTGAGAGCTCACAGATGGTCAAAGTGCGGAGAGGTTTGACGCAGGCGAGCTTTGAGAGGATGCTGGAGACTTGCGTCCGCTTGCAGAGGTGAACATGGAGGAGGAAGAGGAGGAGGAGGAGGAGGAGGAGGAGGAGGAGGTGGTGGTGGTGGAGGAGGAGGAGGGCAAGGGACTAACATTGAGCAGGCGGGTGATGGAGCAGGAGATGCTTGACGTGCTGCGCGAGGTGGCGGAGGGGCGACATGCACGAGCGTGTGCTGAAGAGCTTGAAAGGGTATGCCAACCTTCTGCTCATTCCCAGTCCCCTCCTCCTCGTTCTGCTCCTCATGCTGTTCCCGCTCTTGCTCCCCCCGCCTCCCCCTCTCCGCCCCTCCTCCTTTCTCGTCCTTGTCGTCGTCCAGTCCTCCTCCTCCTCCTCCTGATTAAGTTAGCAGGAGATGCGGGACGAGGAGGCGGTTCAGCGTTGTTTCCTGCTGGGCTGTCTGGATGGGCTGGTGAAGGTTGTGGAGGAGGCGCTTCGACTGGATGCGCGTCTAGATGCTCGTTCTCGGATTCCTCTCGGGAAGCTGGCAGGAAAGCTGGGGGAAGTTGGAGTGTACTGGGAGGAGGAGGAAGAGGAGGAAGAGCGCACGGGACTTGAGCTTGCTCTGTTCTCCTCTAAGGCCTCGGTAATTCTCCTGCTCCTCCTGCTCCTTCTGCTCCCTGGACCTTCTCCTCCTGCTCCCTGGACCTTCTCCTCCTGCTCCCTGGATCTTCTCCTTCTGCTCCCTGGCTCTTCCTTTCATTCTGTCTCCTCCTCCTCCTCCTCCTCCTCCTCCTCTTGTTCGCCTCGCTCTTTCTCCTTCTACTACTTCCTTTGCTTGCTTTCCCTCTCAAATTTCTCAGTCAAAGTCTGAATCATCATCAGGGCCCCTTCTTCCAGACAGCGGAAGGTAAATCTCCAGTGTGCGTCCGGATACTGAACCAGCAAGTAGCAGAGAAAGAGGAAGTAGTTGTTCGCCTCCTACGTCTCGGAGCAGATCCCAACACGGTTGCCTGCTCCTCTTCTTTCCTCTCTCCGAGGCTCTCTCCTCTCTTCTTTCCCCTCTCCCCTGCTCTTCTCTCCTCTCTCTCCCCTGCTCTCCTCTCCTCTCTTCCTCTCTTCTCTCTTCCTCTCTCCTCTCTCTTCTCCTCTCCTTTTCTCTCCTCTCGTTCCCTTTCCTCTCCTCTCTCTCTCCTCGCAATTTTCTTGCCTATTCTTCTCCCCTCCTTGACATGCTCTTCCAGCGCGACTCCGTCGGCTGCTCGCCTCTCATCCTCGCCTGCGAGCAGGTGCCTTGCTTGTTCCACGGCGGCAGCTGACAGCTGGCAGGGAGGGGCTCGAGCTCAGCGGGAGGTAGAGCTCCTGCTGGATGTCAACGCAGACCCTCGAGTGAAGGTCAGGACGTTAGTCTCTCCTCCTCGTTTCTCCTGCTGTCCTCGTTCTCCTCCCTCCTCCCGCCCTCCCTCTGCTTCCCCTCCCTCTCCATCTTACACTTCCTCTTTGCCCTCCACCTCCATCCCCCCCTACTCTCTCTCGCTCTCTTCCCTTTCCCCTGCCTTTTCTCGACTTCCCTTCCAAGTTGCTCTGCTCTGCTCTGCTCTCATCTCTCCGCTGCTCTTCGTTTCGCCTCCTCAACCTTGCTCGCAGGATTTTCTCGGCCGAACTGCTCTCGAGCTCGCCTTGCGGTGGGAGCAGCAGGAAATTGCCGACCGCCTCATCGCGGTAAGAGGGGATAGAGAGATTCGAGAAGCGAGGAGGGAGGGAGGAGAAGGGGGAGAAAGGGAGGGAGGAGAAGGGAGAGGAAGGGAGGGAGAAGGAGGAAGAGAGGGGGAGGGAAGAGGAGGAAGGGAGGTGGGGGGAGGAGGAGGAAGGGATTAAAAGGGAGGAGGAGGAGAAATCAAGGGAGAGCAGGACAGAAGACAGGCATGAGGAGGAAGGAGTAGAAAAATGTGCTAGCTTGACATGTCGTTCCTGACACGTAACAGGCGGGAAGTGATGTTGGCGAAGCGCTGGACAGATTGAGGTAACACGAGGAGGAGGAGGAGGAGGAGGAGGAGGAGGAGGGAGGAAGGGAGGAGGAGAGCGAGCAGCAGGAGAGAAATGAGGAATGAAGGACGCGAGTTGAGGAGGTGAAGGATGATGGAGGGAATAGGACAGAGAAAGAGGACAGAGAGAGAGGACAGAGATGGGAGACAGAGAAGGTGAGGATAGAGGAGGAGGATAAGAAATCGGCAGGCTACGGGGAGAGCTCTGCTGGCTCTCAGAAGGGTTTCATGCTCGCGAGGGTTCACTTCCAAGCACCAGGGTAAGACAACATGAATAAAAGGGAGAGGGAGGGAGGGTAGACACTGATGCTGCTGCGATGACAACTATGATGATATGAACAACAGCAAGACAATGATGATGATGGTGGTGGTGATGATGATGATGATTTGGATGTAGGTTCGCTATGCTGGACGAGCTGCGACGAAGTGGGAGTGAAAATCGTCTTCCTGGCTCTCGCTCGCTATGTCCCCATCCGCAGCTGCGACCTGCTGTGGCTTCAGCGGAAAGTGACAAGAGAAGGAGAGAAGTAGAAGACGACGAGGAGGAGGAGCAGGGGGGAGACTGAAGGAGACTAGGTGGGAGGAGGGGGAGGGAGAGCAGAAAGAGGAAGGAGAGGAGGGGGAGGGAGAGGAGAGAAAAAGAGGCATACGCAAGCATGCTCCAGGCAAGAAACGACTTGCAAGCCAGGAAGGGGCTGGACTGTCGCCATGCTTCTCCTGCTATCGCTGTCGCCTCCTCATACCCTCTCAGCCTCCGCAGCACCTGCACATTCATCACTCGCTCCCCTCCTCCTCCTCACCCGCCTGTACCCGCCGCTTCTCCTCCTCCTCTCTCCTCGCCATCCTCCAAGCCATCAGGTAGCGAAGACAAAGTTGCCGGCAGCTCCTCTCGTACACTCTCCTCCTCCCTCGTCGGCAGTCGCTATGCTGTAGGAGCCTTCCGAAGGTTCTGATCGACATGTCATCCTACGCACATACATCCCCCTCCTCCCTCCTTCCTCTCCTGTCCTCTCTCCTCCTCTCCTCTCCTCGCCTCTCTCCTGCTCTCCTGTCCTCTCCCCTCCCCTCCCCTCTCCTTCATCCTCCCTGACCTTCTCTTCAGCCCTGCATCTCCGAGCATCGGCATCATAGAAACGTCCAGTAATGAGCCCCCAAACTCGCTGCTCCTCCCCGCCTCACTCCTCCTGCTTGTCTCGCTGCCGTGCATGGACACGCGGGTCGTATCCTCCAGGACGAGCTTCCCCCAACTTTCCTCGATCCTCTCCAATCTCGTCATCCTCTCCTCCTCTCCTCCTCTCCTCCTCGTTCTTGAGAAGCTCGAGATGCAACGGAGGGAGGGCGGGGTCTGATGAAAGCTCCATGGCCCCGCAAACGCTTCCTCCATCACCTTTCTAACTCCCACCTGTTCCATCCTCCACATGTAAGACCTCTTTCCTCCTCCTCCTCCTCCTCCTCCTCCCTTTCTCCTCCACCTCCCTTCCTCTTTCTCCTCCTCCTCCTCCCCTCCTCCTCCTCCTCCTCCTCCTCCCTTCCTCCCCCTCCCCCTCCCCCTCCCCCTCCTCCTCTCCTCCTCCTCATTTCTTCCTTCCTCTTCTTTCATCTCCCTCCTTCCGTCACCTCGATTCCTCTACTTCGTTCCAGCACGCGGCGGCAGGCATGAAGGAGGATTCTCCAGCCCTGGAGGTCGAAGAGCGAGCCTTGTCTCTCCTCCTCCCTCTCCTGCCTCCTCCCTCCTCGAGGACGGAAGCGCTCGAACGCGACCCGCAGAGATCTTCTCTCCAACGTCTTGGCGACTTCTGAGTTGTGATGACGTCATGCCTTGTCTGCTCAACGGCTCTGCTTCCAACTTCTCTTCCTCTCCCTCGCTCCTTCCTGGTTCTCTTTCCCCCCTCCCACTCTTCCTCTTTCCCTCCCGTTCCTCGCTTCCTCCTCCTCCTCTTCCTCTTCGTCTCCTCTCCTCGTCTCACCGCTGATCAGTCTGTCGCTCCTCGCGTAGCTGACTGACGAACGCCAGCTGCTGAAGAGTTTCTGCTCGCATGCGAAGATCGACCTGACAAACATCTGACAACAAGTCAGCAGCAGACCAGGAGAGAAATGGGAGGAGGAGGAGGAGGAGGAGGAGGAGGAGGAGGATACTCGTGCACTCAGTCGTCTAAATCTTCTTTTACGAAACGTCATCATCCTCCAAGCAGCAATGTACAGAAGCCTGCGAGGGTCTCCATCAATTCGGTTTTCCTCCTCCTCCTCCTCCTCCTGCCCCTAATCCTCCTTCTCATCCTCACTCTTACTTTTTCGTGGTTCTTCCTGCACTTGATATGTCTAGCAGAGCAGCGAAGCTCTGGACGAATTCGTTTGAGAGGCAGCAGCGAGAAGAGTGACAGTAGGAGCGGGAGGGAAGGAGCTGAAGAAGAGGAGAGGGAGACAGTGGCGGAGGAGGGGAAGAGGGAGACTGAAGGGACAGGAAGGAGAACAACAGATGGCAGAGGAGAGAAGACAGTGTAGAGGACAGGATCAGAGCAGATCAAGGAAACAAGGAGAAGGATATTCAGAACATGTATGGGAAGGGAAGGAGGAGAGGAGGAGAGGAGGAGAGGAGGAGAGGAGGAGAGGAGGAGGAGGAGGGGAGGAGGAGGAG